AAAAAAAACAATTTCTTATACAATATGTATTATTATTAATGTTATCTCGGACAATGTTATGTAAATATGCAACATTAGTTTTTGAAAAATCCCCGCAGATCCATTATATTTATAGCATATGAAGAAAAAAGAAATGTATGTGGAATATTTAATTAACCATGGTCTAAAATCCTATGTATAGAGAGAATTTACTTAGCTTATTCCTTTGTTTGTTCCGGGTTGCACAACAAAATTTAACCTCTTCTTCATTTAGAATATTATTTGTCTTCAACAGATTGGAACAAATAACAATCGTGAGCTTAAACCAATATTTTATTCTGTGTGGATTTAAATGTATTTTGTAAAATTAAAAATTATAATTTATTATTGTAAATTTGTAGTATTGATGGTTAAATATCTATTATATTGTAATTGTTGGGTGCAGACTGAAATGTATTTTGTAAGAATAAAAATTATAATTTATTATTATAAATTTGTAAAATAATGTTTTGATATGTTATTTTATGATTGATCCCTTAACGTACACGAATATATGTTGACACTTAGTTACATATTTTGTTAGTGTATCTCATGTTTAATTGTTTATATAATTTTTATTTTTTTAGTGTTTAGTGTAATTAGTTAACCGTATACGACATTATTTTTTTTAAGGAAATAGTAATTTTAATATTAAAAAGGCAATTTTATCAATTAATTTATCTCAATCATTAATTTCTTGTTTTTTTTCTTTTACTTCTATGATTTTTCTTTATTTTCTTCATTTTTGTGTTGTTTTCATTTCTCACCGTTTTCTTACTTTTATTTTTCATCTTATTTTTTTTTTTCATATTCACCGTCTTGGTCTTCTCCAACTTTTATATTTATATTATCGTCGATTTGCCATTTGATATAAAATTTTGTACATATAATATGTGTTTGTTAAACTGATCCGCACCATATCAAAATCCAAACCGGCAGACGATTTTGTGTTTAAAATTTTTCTTTTTATTTAATCCAAACCGGCAGACAAAGAAAATCAGAAGATTTGTTACAAAGCATAAATAGTTTTTTTGGATAAAATATTAGTTTCAAATCGTAATCTTTGATAATCTTGTAGACACAGTTTTTGAATCTGTTTAAAAATTAATTAATTCATATATGAAGAAGTTTCATGTTATTACTTAATTAGAAAAAAAAATTATTTAGTTAGCTTATAGTTATGAAGAGATTTATGTAGGGATCCCTGTAGAATCGCATAGTTAAAAGATATTTTGTAAAATAAATGAAAAGATTTAGTCAGATATTGTACTTAAAAATTGGAATATACGTAGGTGTTAGATGTTCAAATAGTTTTGTTTCACATTAAAAATTCTAATTAAAATATTATGTAAAAAACTACAATTTTTAAAACATAAACAATAATAATTCAATTAAAAATTATCTATTTAATTAGTTTAAACCAAATTATTTTTTTTCAAAGACATGTCATCATTTATTCAAGACATGTCATAATTTTAAACTAATTAAATTATAACATGAAATAATTGTATTTGGCTTTTAATAGAAAGGGGATTAATTAATTTACGTAACATTCGAGGTATGGGAGGAGAGTAATGGTAACGAAACCAAAAAAAAAAAAAAATCTTGTTTTTTGTTTTCTTGTTCTCTCCAGATTCCTCACAAGAAACCTAAAAACCAGTCTAATTTAAGAGATTAATATATGTGGGCAATTAGATTAGAGATAGTAACTAAAATCGTAACCAAGTCA